AAAAAAAAGCAGCTGTAACTTAGCCTGAAGCTAAAATGCATCAAAAACAAGCTATTGCTATAATCTAGCCAAAAATAATTAACCTTAATATATAAACACACAGAGTTTACAAACCAAAATGTCCAAACACTTTGGTCAAACAGGCAAATTATTAAATAGCCATTCAAATGTCACTTAATTATTTCTTACATGTAAAAAAAGGTTGCTGTTACACTGACTTAATGTGCTCCTCTTTAAATTTCTGTAAGTGTTCAGTGTGAGCAGATCATGTGACTCTGAAGAGGGGGGCAAGAGAATCTTAATTTATGCAGGTCTTACATCCAGACTAAATCATTCTGACTGCAGCTGGAAGCCTTCCAGTCGACTGACTGCTGCATTTGCAAGCTGCTTCTATGTCACGTTACTCCCATTTGGGTCAGAAATTTATTTCCCTCCACTTCCCCTCCTTCATTCATTCCTCTCCTCTCTCCCTTCCTTCTCCGCCCCCCTCCCTCAGCTGAAGTACGGAGCAGTGAAACAGTTGGGATCTCACCCACAGAGACTTACCCAGAGCTCCCTGACAGATGTCTGTGCGGGTCGCTCCGTCCACGATGAACTCTGGCTGCCTGCAGAACTCCTGTGGGGAGCACAAACACAAACAGACAGATGAAGTGCTCTGCTCTGCCTTTGGAGACAGAGGTGCAGCCTGCAGGATTTTGTTTTTTCTATTTTAACAGTTAATTCTTAACAACAATAAACTAAAGACTGGATACTTTTATACTCTTGGTCAGTTGTCACCAATGCCTACAGCTCACGGGGCATCAAAACAGTCTTGGGGAGGCATGAGACAAGGAAAAGGAGACTAACTCCACCACGGCAAGAAAACAAAGAAAACAGAGGACGTATGACCATGGTTAATGTTTGGATTATCATGCAGCGTCATATGTTTCTCAGCGTCCTCGATTTGATTTCTACCTCATTTTTTATTTTTAAAGGCAGGGCTAACACATTGAACAGATGTGTGTGGAGCAACTAAGCTAACCCAGCTAACACGCTAGTCCTCTGCTGCTCTCCTTTAGTCTCTCACGACCCTTCCCTGCTCTGTGGACAATCCTCCAATAGGAATGTTGAGCGTGAGAAACCCCACATGAAGCTATAAAAAGACATTCTTCCCTCACCCTCTGCCACACAAGCAGGGTTGGTTCAAGGCACTTTGGGGGTCTTAATAGGGGTCCAATATCACATTTAGAACAATGTTGTTGTTTGTTGTTCTCTTTAATTTCCAGTTCAAATATTTTTTTAAAAAAAGAGAGGCTTCCCTCTGAACTGCTTGGGGTAATCTCTGTGACATCCAGTAGAGGGGGATGCAAGTGAATTCACACATTCAATTCACTCCTAATTAATTAGTAAATGAAGACAGTTTTTCAGTGATGTTTACTGTTAGCAAGCAAGCTAAATACTTCATCTAAGTCAAGTTGTTTGATTCTTACGGTTTCACAGACCTTAAAACATGGACCTTTTCCAGTTATGCTTTATTATGGTTTTATACGCAATACAAAAAAAAAGGATTCATAGAATTTTAATGAAATCCATCCTGCAAGCACTGGTACTGTTGAGGACAGGGTTGCAAAACTTGACAGGTATGAATTTTATATGTCCCACTTTTTAGCTAAGGCAATCTTGAACAATCTTGACTTTATTTTAAAAAATCCCTTCCAGGTCACCCTTGGTGAACTAGATGATTTGATAAATTGGCTGTTTGGGTGTTGAGGCGTACAGAGCCTTGGTTTAATGGTGTAAATCCCATGAAGAAGAGACATGGCTTCCCAAACAAAGAATGTCCAGAACAGCGTAATAAAATGCAAATATTAAAGATGCAGTGGCTCAGGGTGGAATGAATGCATAATTAAACCTCAGACTTTTAGGAGCACGTACACACACACCATCCATCATCCATCCATTTTCATCCGCTTATCCGTTACCGGGTCGCGGGGGCAGCAGTCGCCACCCAAATCCCACTGCACCGTACCAACCCCCCTGAACCTTCCTGCAGGTGGTCAGTCCACTGGAAGGTACCAACCACCCTGACCAGGATTCGATCTTGCCCAGGAGGTGAACCCTAGGGTTCTACACCAGTGACAGAGACATGGCCTCTGGGCCAAAGCGCCACCGTGTACACACACACACACACCCACACACACACACACTAAATTTGTAAAGGTCAAACGTGATTAGACACCAGGTACCTGCATACTCAAAAGCTAGTCTTGGAGAGGAGCTAAAAGCCTGCAGTCACGTACCTTAGACCATTGTGACCCAGCCCGTGTGGGCTTTTATGACCACGATCTTCTTGCTGCAGTCACGCACAGCTGAGAGCGTCACGATATGATCAAAAACCACCAGTAATGGGTGCGTGCTGCCCTCACTACTGCCGTGATAAGGCCTGATGCAGGCGGTGCCACTTCGTTCCCCGGTGTGATGTCAAGCACTTCCAAGCTATTAATCATGCAGAGAATAAGAAAGAGACTGACAGAGAAATCTCTGATAACGCTCTCTCTCTGCCTTGTTTAAAGTGGAGCAATCACAGAGTTCCTCACAGGTCGAACACAGCACTCCTTTCTGACTGGAGCTTTAGTTGCCCAGCAACAAAGTGGGAAAAACTAAGTCGGTGCAGAGAAGTTGCTCTCACGGACAGAGTGGAATTTTGTCAAAAGATTTCTTCGTGGGCATAAAATAACTAGGAAGTGGTACATTTTTATGCTTTTGTTATTGCAGGATCAGTTCTGCTTCATGTCATATCCCCAAAGTGAATGCCACATTTTACAGCTCATGACACTTTGTTGAAAAAAATCCAAACAGATAAAACTGTTTTTGTGCTACAGATACTACACATATTTTTCATTAGAAAAACCCCACGGCACACCACTAAACAGAAATCTCACAAAAAGTATAGGGAATGAAATCTTCTGGTTTAAATATAATCACAATTCGCTGAAATCTTGGCCTGTTTAGTTGAAGACAATACTGATATACCCCCAGGAATTGAGAAAAGACACTCACAAAGATCTTCTTCAACAGCTCTGATTCTCTCTTTGTAATTGCTCTGCCTGTCACGCATTGACAGAGAAACAATATTTGCAATATATGAATAATATTTTTAGACTAATTATGTGAACTCTTATCATTCCACAAATGGTCGTCAGGTTCTGTACATGCCAAATGTGAACGGGATGATTATTTTCATGATTTTCTTTTCTATTTTGCAATAAACGTAGTGATTAGTCATTTTGAATGCATCCACGCAGATATAGACACAGGGGCCTTTGGCAACATTTACAAAAGAAAAAA